AATATATGTTATTCATTTTATACAGTTGTATGAGGCGTTTTAATCTATTACAGGCTAATCTTGCTATGCATATTTGTGACATTTAAGTGTATTATTGCTAACCCCTAATTCCATACAAAATACTCAGGTATTTTCTATATTAATTTAAGACAGAGCATTTGTCCCTCAATGTGGTCATATGAAGGCACCTATATTTCATAAGTTTCCTTATTCTTTAGGTTCTTCTACTTCAACTCCACAACTTGTTCTTTAGCTAGCAGACATCAATTCCAGTACAGATATGTAATACTTGCAATCACTAATCAGGCGACACATAATAGATACATACCTATCATTACCATTACAATATTAAGTCTTTAGTTTAATTATTATGATCAATACACACAAGTTTCGGTCCATGCATTACTATCAGTACAAGGTACATAGATTCTTGATACATATGTTCTAATATACCTTCCATATGTCTACCCCCTCCCCCCCCCCCAGCTTGTATACAGGGACAGATTGACTATATATAGAATAAAAGTGCTGTTTATTGTATAATTGGTTCCCCAAGGCCAACGCCCTTCTTCACATGGAGGTATTTGGCCATCATTCAAACTCACAGATAGTGCTTCTTTCCAACCAGTACTAGGTTCATAGTTAGAGCTTCATCTGTCATGGCCACTTATATTGGCAATCTTCTACAAGTCACAGAGAGGATCTTCCATTAATACCATAAACAATAAACTGAAGGAAATGTAATCTCCTAATGTTGGAATTTCAAACCCTCACATTAATTATTCTACCTTGAACCCTGCTCATACTACCTCTCAGAGAAACATCACTCAACACAAATTTCCTCCACTCATGTAATCACACCTGCACATTTAGTTCTACCCGCTATTAGGAAAAACATTCTGGGAAGCACAGAAGCTATTTTAGTGTCTTAATGCCTCACAGGATCATGTAGAGAACAATCCTCACAGGATCCTGTAGAGAATAATACTGTTACAGGGACCTATCTGTAGTCCTGAAAGCCAGAGATCCCAGACTAAACAAGAAACTAACAATTCCAGAATTTGTACTAGCTTTCGCATTATATATAGATGTCATTTGTTCAACTTCCCCTCACAGTAGAGAATAACTATCTTTATTTGCACAAATTGGTGACTTGGGGCATAAGTACAGCAGATACAACTTTTAAGATTACCACAAATCCTTTTCATCCAAAGCAGCAAAAACTTTGGCACAATTCAATATCCATTCAGATATTTCCCATTCCACAAATGTGTGCCCTAATCAGCCCAGTTTACCCACCACAAGTCAGGCTATTGCCAGGCCCAGCAGACCAGGAAATAAAGACCTTAAAGACAAATTGGGCAGACCCATAGTGTTCCTGGGTAAGAGGCAGAAATACAACAACTTCAATGCAAGTAACCCCAGTTTTAGCACTTGTGGATGTTACATGTCTGCTTTCTCTGCTTCAGAGCTCTCAGAGCTCTCAGCAAATCCATGAACTCAATCCACCTATTTCCCAAACAACGAATTAACATGCATGTGCATCGACATTGTGAAGTCACACGCACACTCGCGTGACCCTTGGAGGTGGAGCTACAAATGGCCACGACCTCGTGGTCAGCACCACTTTGTTTGCAGCATGTGGAGGGGATGGACACCCCAGCGGGACAGCTTCCGGCTCGTTGCTGAACAGGTAAGTTCACTAACCTGTCAGTGTGGTGGCACCGATCGGGTGCGACCAGATGCAGCTGCGAGCCTGGGGCCGTGACACTCTGATACTGACAAAAGTGAAGAATGGTTTAATGCTGCGGTCTTTAAGACATCCCCCCATTTACTTGTTGGCACACCATCCTTATCGGCATAGCCTAACAATAACAAAAACACATGATTATTGATCTCCCAGCTGCTCATGATTCAGCAATATTTAGTCTACATTCCAAGATTCCATCAGAATAATTTTCATTACACTACGCCACATTAGATAATGCTATTCAAGCAATCTTGACGGATGAGAAAGCAGCCTGGCTAGGGAAAAGCAACATTTCATTAGCTTTCAAGTTTCTCCCTATACACACATCACTGTGGCATCGACATGGCATTAAATGGAGGGCTTTTTTCAGCCTGCCTTACTTTCAGGGTCAAGAGCAGTCCAAAAAAGTTTGAGATCCTCCTAAATGTTTCTAGCTGCCCTGTGATGATACATTATCTTGACAATTTTCTAACAGTGAAAGAAGTCAGCACCATACCACAGTATAAATAATACTATTTGTGACGGACCGCTTGGCACCCCGACTGGATGCCTCCACAAATCACTGCTTCCTAGCTGTCGCCGAGTACCATAAGCACCGCACCGGGCACCATAAGCAACTTAGCCCCTTGGCTTGGCTGGGGTCTCGCTGTCCCTTCTCATGCTGGACCAAACTCCTGAATCCAGCACCAAGTGAAAAGACCTCTCCTCCAAGAGAGTATAACCAGCATAACAGTGTAGCTCTTACAAGAGCTGGTGATTATAGCTAATATAGTGGTTCCTTGCAAACATGAGATGAGACTCTTTGTTGATGGTAAGCAGGAACTGTTTATTGGCAGCCACAACTGGCCTTATTTGCAGGTCCCCATGCAAGGGGCACTCCCCAATGGACCTGAGAGTAGACTACAGGACTACAGTAAAAACACACACACACACACACACACACACACAATTACATTGGTCCAGGACACTCCCATACAAAATAGGCTAATCCATCCACTGTGCCTGGGAGATAATTAAGTCAGAAACTGTACAAAACTTGATTATCTCCAGGCACAAAAAACACACATTTCTTAAACACCCCAAAAGTATCTTAAAAATACATAACCCCCAATCTGGGTGACCAACATATCCAAAAATCACCCAGATCAGTTCAGGGATTCAGGATTTTCCTGGAAGTCATAATTTGACTGACCCCACAAATGGACCTATGCCCGAAATAGTGCCATAGAATAGCGGCTAAGTGCCGCTGGGGGCCAACTGGGAACTGCAATCTTCATACCGAAATAGTTCCATAGAATCACAGCTAAGTGCTGCTGGGGACCGACCGGGAACCGCAAAGTCTTCATACCGTAAATAGTTCCAGGGCATTCGCGGCTAAGTCCCCCTGAAGTGTATTTGCAGTTTTGGTCCATGCAAACAGCTGCCAGGAAGCTAGTGTTTGGTTCTATGCGCACAAATGGAAAGTGTTGAACCAGGGAAAATAGGGGGAATAAAATAAATGGGTCTTTACAGTCGCTGACCTGGCCCATAGTTGGTAGGCAGGAGTCCAGCTTCCACACTCTTTCGGGAGTCCATGGCAAACGTCTGTGGATAGCGGAGTTTGTCACACCATTGCCTTATTTTCTACACTAGATGTTCCACTGTCTTAAAAGAAAGTATAGTTTGATATTCCTAGGCATACATCTCAATTCCAATTCCAAAGCATACACCTCAATTCCAATTCAGCCTACCAGCAGACAAGATTTGGCATATACTTCCTTGCTTGAGGATCCTATGAAAGCAGAGATCTTCAGTCTTTTTGATCCACAGTCGTTCCTTTATTTGACAACTACTCTGCCTATGACCCGGTTTACTTAACAATGACAGCAACGTTACTTTGAACATATGCTAGAGCAGACTTATACATGTGGTATGACTTCCTATTAAACTGGAATGGGAAGGTCATGTTCATTCCCCCACTAAAAGACAATTCCCCTACCATCTGGACAGACGCTGCAGCCCAGACAGAATTTGCAGCATAAGAAGACAGCTGGTTCAGAGACATAAGGTTTACCCTCTTTTAACATAAGTACTGCTCTCTTTGAAATTTACACTATAGTAGCTGCCACGTGTGCTTGGGGGTCTTTATGGATAAAGAAATCTGTCAAAATGTTATATAGACACGATAACTGCATATGATATTATTAACAAAGGCAGGTCCACTTCATTGACTAATGTATCTGATCAGAAAAATTACATGTGTAGCAGCTACACATAACCTTTACCTGGTCTGTATGCATGTCTCAGGCTGCCACAATCTAGCAGTTGGTACCATGTTTCCCTCTAACGTACAAGTATTTTACCAAGTACACCACACAGCAACAAGACACCCTAACAAAATGCCAGATTTCCAGGATCTCATTCTGGATTAGCCCGTCTCATGGTACATAGAAGATCACAAGCAAAAGTGGTCCTATCAGATAATACAAGACATACATACAAATGAGCTTTCACTATGTTCAACAATTTCATTTCCGAATTTCAGATTTGCAATGTGTTCACAATTCACTTCCTTTTACCACCTCAAACTAAACTTTTCTCACAACACCATTACATTAGATCTCAGAGGTGTACAACGTCACTTATTGAGTACATTGCCCAGCCACAAAACATCTATGTCCTCTTACCCTATCAAAATATACTAAAGGGTATACAATGCTTAGACTACCGTAAAGTCACCAAATTATACTCAGGGGTATACACTGCTTAGACTGCCGCAAAGTCACCAAATGGCAACCTATAGATAGTGCCCTATTTTTTTTTCTCTGTCAGATCTCTTGGACACAAATCTGTTTGAAACCCAGACACAATTTTTTTTTCCCATATATAATTTTTATTTGCTTTTGCAGAGGTGTACTTATTGCATTATCATAAACATGTTGGCATATCAGTTTTACAGTGTTTTACATCCATAAGAGTGAATACTCTTGAGTACATTGTCCCTTTTTTGTGGAGTTTGGAGACATGTTCCTAAGGTGGAGTGGAACCTTTCTAATGCAACCATTTCGTTTTTCATGCTGAGTACAGAAATAAGGAAGGGAAGGGGAAATCAAAGAACAGATAACTAGGTGAACCCAAGGGTTCAACATTTTGAGTATTGTGTTCATTTGCTTGCACCTAAGTGGACCTCCAGCAGAACCAGCTCAATTGTGCCCTTCTAAACAGTTAGTTATTTAGTTAGCTCTCCCATGGAGATGCCTGCCCCACTTACATCATAACTGGATCCGCCAATATTGCGGTACTCCAACCAGCTGTGCCATAGTTTCTCATGTTGCTTTGTAGCACCCTGAACTTTAAGAGACATTTGCTCATAGAGTTGTGTCCAAAAGATGTTTACACTCGGGCAGTCCCAGAATATATGTAGTATTGTGCCAGTTGCTGTCCTGCACCTCCAGGATGTTGGAGATACAGCGCTGTAGGTCCGAGATAGCTTGTCGGACACCATGGACCAGCGCATTGTGATTTTGTAGTAGGCTTCCCACAGGGAAAGGCTTCTGGATTTTTTGTTAAGTTTTAAGGGATCCTGCCATTGCTTTAGGGTGAACTCTTGACCAATGTCTTTCTCCCATTGCACCATATATGGTAGCTTGTGTTGTGCGATGTCTTCCCAAAGTGCATTATAACACAAGGAGAGGGGTTTTATAGAACTTGAGAACAGTATATGTCATGGGGGTAGTGTCAGGATTACTGTTTGACCCGCACGTAGAACTGTATAGCACGGATGACAAATAAGTAACGTATTACCGGTCCTTAGAATGGCCGGATTTAACGTACATAGAATAGTCAAAAATACTAGCCGAGGTCAGGGAACACAGAAAGGGACGCAGCGATGAAGAAAGCCAGGAGTCAGCATACCAGAATATAGAGAAGTCAATAAACAAAGCCAAAGTCAAAAACCAGGTAGAAAACTATAAACAGGAACGCGCTCTCGGACAACCACAAGGGAAACCACAACAGGGCACTGAGCAGGATGAAAACTGGGCCTAAATACCCCTCCTCTAAATCTGATAGGCTGTAACTGGCCTTTGACCCCAAAATCAGTTACCAGCGGAATACATTCTGATTGGTTGGCCAAACGGTGATGTACAGTATACATAGTCTCAATTGTGTCTCTATTGGGGTATAGTTATTCCCCATGTATCTCTGGTCATTTCTTCCTTCTCTCTATTTTATGTCTCATCGATCATTTTTTCTTTTATTACTATACAGGAGTTGGTTTACTGTGTGTTTAATTAGATAACTTTTTTACTCAATCAGTGTTGGAAAGTCAGGGGTTAATGTGTCCCGGCAAACACAGCCGTCGGCACACTTCTCCTATTCGATGACATCACCGTTTCGCCAACCAATCAGAATGTATTCCACTTGGCCAATCAGCATTCCAGCTCTCATATTTAAATGTTTGAGTTGGCGGCACCCAGTTCCCCTCTGACGAGCTTTGGTGAAACGCGCGCGTCAGGGGATCTTTGGCGCTATTCTATCGCCATCTATTTATCATATTTTTTTATACCTTACACTTTCTCGTTTCTAACTGATGTCTCATTTAGGATAGCATTAGTGGGGGTTAGTCCTGGTGCCCATGAAGGCACATGGGGGGTTTCTAGCCTCAGGATTATTATTTTTGTTGCACGTTATCATGTTCCATGCTTAAGTTACTGCAATCCCAATATCTCATCAGTAGCTTTCTAACTGACTAAGGTCTTTTGTTAGAACTCTCTTTTTTTATCACAATTTACCACCTAAGAATAGTTACAACGTATTATCAAGCACTTTGATAGCTCTGTAACAACTTTGTATAAGCTTTGCCTACAGCATATTGCTTCACTATTCCAGCATGCTGTTCTCGTAGCTGAGTGCAGAACCTTGTTGCTGTACTCTATATTCAAGCAACAGCCCTACACCAGCCAAGCTCTGTATTGTCAGGACAATTACTGTCGATTTTCTAGCTAATGGGGCAGACATTTTTACCAAGTTATCTGGCTCTTGATATATTCTAGTTAATTATTATTCTTACGGTTATTTGACAGTTCACTTCTATATGATTACTGTTCGGGTTCTAGCTGTTAGTTATGGACAGCATTCAATATATATAGACTTTGATTAGTTTCTTGAGTTATCACACTACTACCTTAGGTGCTCTCCCCTCCGCCCCCATTTTCCTTTTCACTTTGCGCAGACATGTGCAGTGTGTTATATTCTTTGTAATTGGAGACATCAGAATATATCTTTACACCTTGGGATATCATTTAGATTGATTTTAACTAGCTTATCAGTGTTCCATTCTATACATTTATACTTTTTATTATGTATATCCAATAAAGTTATTTGTTATTTTTATTTTTATCATTTCTTTCATCTTATTAGTGATTAAACTGTACTCTATTTGCTCAGTTTTCACTTAGTGATAGTTTATTTTCTTTCTTTATTTTGCATTGATAGGTACTCTCTTCATTTATTTTTGATTCTCATTTACACTTGGGGTTACCCCCCTGTTCAGAGTGTACCTAGGCTGTACTCCAATTTATTTGTTTACACATGGAATATAGTTTGTAGTTTTTCATTTTAAATTGTTTAGGACTACACTTGCAGAAGTGAGTATCCTGCAAACATGCCATGGTTGCCCTTGATTTAAGTACCTCCTGTGCTGCCAGTGTCCGCTTATGGGGACTATTGAGGCCCTTGACATTAAGGGAAAATATAATCATGGAGTTAGCCATTGTCAATGGTTAGCCGGGACTTTGTAGTAAGTATCTTACGGTCCAGTAGCGGATTAATTAGTGTGGAAGGGGTGGTTCTGTAGTGGACCTGCACATGGGCAGAGGTTGGGTTAAGCACCCCTAGTTTCCGGGTATTGGAGGTCGCTAAATAGCACAGTCATCTAGGAGCATGAAAAGTACAACATATTACAATAAACCTAAATAAACTAAGAAACAGAAGTATTTACAAAGTGCCCCATTAGAGAAGGGCATTATTTGTAGTTGCGAGCCTTTGTATTATGCTTAGCAAGCAATCTCAACTGGGAGGTAACACTTGTTGTGTGAAGTGTAATTTAGCTTTTTGTAAAATTATAGTGCAATACCATACAATAAAGCTTGATCTAAACATTTACATGTCGAACTCCAAGTTAAATATTCTTCGTACCGCCACATGTACTTATGTGGTAAGGCGTCATTTCTCTGTTTGGCTGATTGTAAAATCTTGTGTTTTGACAAGTTTATGTTGTAAACAAGAGTTTTACAGCTCATTTTTCCTTTGTGGTGATCCTGCCACCTGCCATTCGCCCGATAGTCTCCCCGGTGGTTTAGGAGCTTGTCTTGGAGATTCAGGAGATTGGAACAGTCCCCATTTTAGGAGGAGCCACATTCCATCTTCTGGTTCTTCTATTACTTTTTTTATGTTCCTCCATATCTTTGTGCGGTAACCCCAATGGTATTTTATGAAGTGGCTGCATAGTGTTTTTATAACCAAAATGAATTCCCTCTGACAGCCCATTGTGAGCGCTGAAAGGTCAGCAAAGAGTTGCACCTCTTTTAGGGCTCTGGGAGCTTTGAGAGTTTCCTTGCTGCGGACAGTAATGAGTCCTTGGTCTTGCATTGTATCAAAGGTGAAGCATTGCTGCCTAGGGGGTTGGTGTCCCCCCAACTCAGTCAGCAGCGCTTTGCAGAGGTCCTTAATGAAGTCGGGCAGAGCATTATGTGTCACGCTGTCCGGAATGCCTCTGTAGGGGATGGCACTGGACTGTCCTCCCTATTATGCTTAAAAGACAATTTGTGTGTTTATTTTCCTGTGTAATTGAAATTGTATGTAGGATTCGTGGGTTTGTTCGCTAGTTTCCATCCATATTTCATACGAATGAAAACTACCGAATAAACAGACCACCCCAGAGAGAAGTGTGTACCTAATTAGGCTTTCACACTTCTCTAACCGCAGTCAATCGGTACTTTATTACTATATCTATATTTATTACTATACCACTGGGTAAGTGAACACATGGCGGCGGCCATCTTACGCACGAACTCTCAGCGGTGTTTGGTCGTCGAGTGTCTGGAACTCAAATCGGACGCTCAATCACCCAAACACCTGAGACCTCCAGAGCTCCCTAACTCCCGAACGGAGGGGCCAATTAGCCCCTCGTTCGGTGAGTTTAACGTACCGAACAAGGAGATTCATACGAATGCGTTGTTAATAGTGGATGGCAAAGATTTGTGGATGTTTTACCTCCCGAACGGAGACCGACCGCAGGGCCAAAACACATGGAACCCTCGGTCAAATAGTTTATTCCCCATAACTCCCGAACCCCTGGTCTGATCTGGGTGAATTTTGAGTATATTGGCCACCCAGATCAGGGCTACCAGGCAATGCCACTTAGACCCTTGTACCCCACAGTTTTGGGGTACATCCAGAAACCAGGTAAAACTGTAACAGAAATAAGTGGATTAAGTGTAACACTGAGGAGAGGAGATGTATGGGAGGTAACTACTGTACCATTGGCTACTGTCCCAATTATTGTAAATCCCTCCCTTGCATGGGAGAAACCTTTAGAAGGAAACAATGTGATTAAAAGTTCAGTTCTGCTCCTGATGCTGTGTGTCGTCCAGTCATTGGGATTGAAGTTGGGATATTGTTGGAGTGTTTTGCCTGCTGGAAATATTACCTTGTGGATTTATAATACTTGTTCCTGAGCCTTACTGGGATCTAAAGTGGAGATAAGCTGTGTAAGAGCAGCTCTCCGCTACAGCCTCGAAATCTGACATTGTTTTGACTCGAGTGACCCTCCATCAGCAAGCTTCCTCTTAAGTTATATGTGCTCGTCAGCTAGGATTTTCATTTTCTGTTGTCTCGTTGTGTGCTGTGGATAATTCCTCTGTGCGAACTTCCAGGTGGTTTGTCTGGTGCCCGAGCTCAGAGATTTCCTGCTTGAACTGCACGGTCATGTGTTTTATGTTCGTGTGTATAGTCACCCGCAGGTCTTGCAGCATAGTATCTCGCTGACGGGGGCATCCAAGTACTGGCTTGTTGTTACCTAATTTTTGATATGGCCCTCCAAGGCAGGAGAGGGTACCATGCTGTCATTGCCATTTTGACTAGGCCTGTGTCAATCTTTTATGGCGGAGCAGATCGAGTCCATGATTTTAAATGTGTGTGTGTAACTGTTTGTGTTTGACTGTCTGCCTGTAATTGTGTGTGTATGTGTATGTATATGAATGTCTGCCTTTAACTGAATGTTTGTGTGACTGTCTTCCTGTGACTGTGTGTGTAACTGTCTGTCCATTATTGTGTGTGTATGTCTATGAGTGTGTGACTATCTGATTGACTGCCTATAACTAGAATAAACAAAGAACCCTGCACACTGATAACGTGTAAATGCTCTGGCCATCCACAGTGGAGGTGCTTCGTGTCAGACATACATCGCTGGGTCCACCAGTAAAGTCTTCAAAAGGAACAAACGCAGGCAACACTCCAATAGTAAGGATGGTATATTTATTGATAGGTGAACCACCCCATAGAAAGTGTGACGTTTTGGCTCAGCAGAGCCTTAATCATGCATATGGATAAAAAAGTGAAAATGGGCATATATATAACTCCACAACCAATTAATTTATCAATGAAAATAAAAACACACATATCTAAATGGCATACATAATATCATTAGTAAAACATGACATGGAGTTTTTTCAAAAATATGAAGCAGCGTAACCAAATATATGGCATGGGATTTGACAAGGCATAAGATGATATGCTTTAATGTTAAAGGCACAGTGCAACAATAAAGGTTATACAAACTAACTTAAACATTTAGGGCCATCTTGATCAATATGTTGCAGATGGTGAAAGCATGTATCTATAACAAATGTTCAAGTCTAGGGAAATCATAGCATTTATTCTGATACAGTGTCAACAAGACATTCTCTTAATATATTGGAATCAGACTTCTAAGTCAAACATGCTAAAGCATAAGCAGGAAAAGTAATCAATCTAATTCCAGAAGCAGTATGTGAATCCAAAAGGCCTCCCTCTTTTTGAGTAAGCTTTGTCGATTACTCAAGTCCTGAGTAGTGGTATATGGTCTATTATTTGTCTGCCTATAGCTGTCTGCCTGTAAATGTGTGTGACTGCATGTAACTGTGTGTGTAACTGTTTGACTGTAAATTTCTGTGTGACTTTCTGCCTGTAATTGTGTATGTGACTATGTGTGAGTGACTATCTGCCTGGACTGTGTGCATGTGGCTGTATTTGACAATATATGTGTATAACTGTGTTTATGTGCCAGTAGGACTGTGTGCATTTGATACTGCAAAAAATATACACATGCATTCACAAATGGGCCTACATGCATTTTTTTTTCCAATCTGAATTAAAAACCCATCACAAACATTACACACAGTCAATACACACATATATCAAACAGAATCAATACACCCATAAAAAATATCACACACAAAGACCGAGGCACAGACCAGATTCCCAGAACACTGGACTAATAGAGATCAGCATGCCCTTTCTCTAGAAGGTACAAATAGTGAAGGGAGAATTAATGTTATTTTTATTGATTTTATTGATTTAATAAGTCCCATAAAAAAACTACACCCCTATACCAATACACCTTACATGGCTGATCGGGTGTGACAAAGAAGGAACAATGTGAAGATTTTTTGCACAGTGCTCCTACAGGCCTGCCCTGCCTTCTGATCACTATTTCTACACAAAACATGTTTACTATTTAACAAAAAGAAGTATCTGTGGGTTGAGAGCCTCTTTAGATATGACTGTTTTGCCCTTGATCTTAGGGTGTGCAAGCAATGTAGCCACACAGTGCGCCATAGCAGGGGGGCACCGGGTGGCCAACATAGCTTGCACATGCAGGGGCTGATGGTGCAGTGGCAAATGTCAAAAGTTGACTGCAAGTAAGAGGGTGGAGCTAAATCTGCAACAGAAGTATGGCAAAATTGGCAGTGGGATGAAACTAATTTGACATCAGGGCACTGCTAATTTGGCCACTTGGCCTGCTTCCCCATCAACTACACACCAGGAATAGTGATGTACCGAACGGTTCGCCAGCGAACGGTTCCCGGCGAACATAGCATGTTCGCGTTCGCCACGGCGGGCGAACATATGCGCGGTTCGACCCGCCCCCTATTCGTCATCATTGAGTAAACTTTGACCCTGTACCTCACAGTCAGCAGACACATTCCAGCTAATTAGCAGCACACCCTCCCTAGCAGACCCTCCCACCTCCTGGAAGGCATCCATTTTAGATTCATTCTCAAGCTGCATGCTTAGTAAGAGGAGGGAAAGTGTAGCTGCTGTTCATAAGATAGGGAAAAGTATAGCTAGGTTAGGGATAAGGGTATGCTTTTTTTTGATTTTTTTTTTCTATGTAATGTAAATGCACTTAGTTGTCTGCCACTGCTGCCAGCTTCTGTGTCAGGCTCACAGTGCCCATTTCCCCAGTCAGTGCCACCAATTACATCTGGTGTCACAATAGCTTGGATTTAAAAACAAAAAACTTTTTCAATGTTATAGATTGAAT